AATCTTTTCAAGACTCAACCTTGATGTTTCGGGACCCACAGTGGGGTCCCAACCACAACTTTGGGAACCGTTGTTTTAGAGGACCCTGACAGCACAGAGCTACATCAGTGACACCCTGTGTCCGAATGTTTTACTCCTCCTGAAACTGCACCTTGTTACAGACTTTTAACTGGACCACACCAATCCTCACACATCTTGTGTCTCTGGACAAAATGCTGCACGAAGTCCTCAGGTTCCTAATTCAAACATGCAGGACCTCAGATGTGACCTTGACCCAGTGCTGGCCCAGTTACAATAACTGAGAGCATAACTGTTATCCATTTGATCTGATTTGAATCCTTATAATTCAGTCAAATGACCKTTCAGCCTGTGCAGTTCCTTTTTACTTCCAAACCTTAATCTTGGTGAATTAATTTTAACTTTTATATTTTTTGTTCAGCTTTTTCTAAACTGTGACCAAGGTTACTTTTTTGGGCTTCTCAAACTTAAAGGGATAATTAGTTTTCTTTGAAGGGGCTTGTCTACTTACAGGGCTTATCTACAGTCATGAGTTACCTTTAAACTGGAGGTGTTCATTTGGAAAAGCACARAAAAGTGCAGGTGTGGAAGGTGAGGTTGATAACTGCAGCATAGTTATTGAATTTTAGCCACCGAAATTTAGTTTAAAAAGGGTGTAAAAGTGTGCTAAGTTCAGAACATTTTACTTCCCACCAGGAAGCTGAGCAGTTACGTCTTTACTCAAACCCACCACTTGTTTAATCACAACTGTTAAACTGCTACTTCTTATCTCAAGTTTTGTGTTTTAAACCATTCAAAACAAAGTTGATCTAAGGCAAGGTAACAGATCAAAAGTGGAGGAAACTGACATTTCCTTTTGTCAGAGAGATGAGGTGGAACCCTTCATATGTATTGCTGGATTGGATGTCACATGACTGATCGCACACCACACAGGTACCATTGTACGCATTGAGTCAAAACTCAGGAACGTTCATGGATAGTCATGAAAATGAGATGCAGTGGACAGTCACGCAAGGAATATCAAAAAGAGACGCAATGTTTTGTTATAAATTTTCAGCATCATGACAAGTTCACAAGATCAAAGGGTATCACATTTCACATCATTAAAATAACTTTTATCTAAAACAAATGGTGGAGATGCAAGAAATAAGTCAGTTATGCTAGCTTGATTTTGACAACCTTATGTCAGGTAAACCCGCTCAAAGACAAATATGTTGTTCCAACAAATTATTACATATTTTTATTAATAGTTTTGTCATGTTAGGTTTATAGTTTTGTAGGTTGTAAATACAGTATGATGTATTTGTGAAATGTTCCCCGGCTCTGGCTGATGTGGATCTTGTAATTYCATTCTAATTTAGGTGCAAGCATTTCAGATTTTGTCACTAAGGAGTTACATGAATTCATCTGCTTGGTGTGTGATGGCACAATGTAGGTTCTCTGTTCAACTTGTTGGAACTAAATATTAAYGAAACTGAACGAAAATGAAATGCAATTGAATTTGTCATTATTATTTTTTAAATGGACAATTAAAAATAGATTGCTTTTAATAAATGTCAAATTTCTACACATTAGATTTTCCAAGAAACAAAGAAAAATTGAGTTGTACACACTGTGGGTCAAACAGTGTCCACCTCTAGCTTCCATAGCAAAACGTATAACGAAAAGTTATCAGATTGCTTCTAAAATCATCTCTTGGGAGAACACTTATTTTTACATATCRCATCTGCAATTTTCTCAGCTTTAATTTAAGACATTTTATAGAAAYGGGATAAGAAATAAGGGGGCTATGAATATTTTTGTGACAGACTGATGTACATCCCTCATTGGAACTTTATCATTTTGTTGACATGACTCGCTGCAAAGTAATGGCGCCTATGGAGGCGCGTCACTAGCTAAAACARCTTATAGGCAATGTCCAATCAGTATCAATAGGTGGAGCTGAAGAGAGTGTCGATGAAAATAATCATTTAGTTCTTTTTGGGAAAGTTCTGTCTGGTTGTTCAGTAGCTGCAAGAAAGATGGCAACTCCACTGAACACCAATTCATTAAACTATCCCTTTAAAAATGTATATTTTTAAAGCTTTTTCCCCCTCTCTGTTTTACATGACCCACATATTGTATACTCTGTGTTATTCTTCTTCAAAACTTTAGGTACAGTACGTATCTAATCAGCTTCTCCTGTAGGTGATGTACTAAGTAGCTCTACAGCCCCACTTCAAATGAGCTAAACTATCCCTTTGAAGTCACAGCCACTGCTCTTCTGTGAATACAGCTAACTATCAGCATTCTGAATGATCCATGTTTTATTCTCCTTCATAGTTTGCTTTACCCCCTCCACACCAGGAACTTAAGCTGATCATTAATGCAGCGCTGCCTTCTGTCCACCACTGTAGGGTTCCTGCTGCTGCAGCCGCTGTCTTTAAAAATGAACAAAAAACAAACGGCGCCTCTTTTAGTGGATCTTCTCCTGCCAAGCMACAATCTGATGATCACAGAGGAGTTTACTGTCTGCTCTGAGCCACTGCGCTCAGCTGTGAGGCAGAGACGGGAATAGGCAGTGCCAGGGTTCATTACGATGAAAAGACATTACAGAGAGATTTGATACACACACACACACATCCACACACACATCATACCCCATTTTACAAAGGGTTTAATCAGACTTTTTAGTAGCAAACCACTAAAACAACAATAATCTCTCAACGCTGCACGTCACATCGCAGCATGTTTAAACCAATCTTCAGATGTCTTCTCACTCAGCAGGTCCATCTCCAGCAGTGAGCCGTTTTTCAAAAGAAATAATATATGAAGTGTCAGAAATGTACCCTCAGTAAATCAATGAATTCTTATAAATATGCTCTTCAGATATTGCACACTAAATATAGAATTAGATGCTATTTACTCAGCATTAAATGGGTCTCTAATCAGATTTTTGTTCTGCCAGCATGTGCATCGCTTTATGTTGGTAAAGTATCACTGATTGAGCAGCAGAGTGGAGCGAGACAGAGAGAGAGAGAGAGAGAGAGAGAGAGAGAGAGAGAGTGAGAGAGAGAGAGACATTATGTTATACAGAGAATGATCTCTGTCAGTGGTATGAATCTATATTTATGGCAGTGTGTTTTCAATTAATCATTGTAAATCTTCCTCCCAGAAATCAAAGCTGGCTCGGGAAAGAGAGGAGATGATCAATGTCCTGCAGCCGAACTGTCAGCGCTCAGAAAAACTTATTTCTCACAAAACCTTTGTTTTATCTGATAACGAGCTGGTTCCTAGTCATTATGTGAACATACAGACCACTGCCTTCACAGAACAATGCTGGGCAGTAATGAACATATAGGCAGCTTAGCATGCAGAGGTTTTTGTTGCAGAAGATGATAAGGTCATGTTTCTTTTTCAAAAGTCAAGGCAGGTAGCTGCATGTTTCTGGATCTCTACAGTAGCATTAAAGGCAGCTTTGACAGCTGTATGCATGATGCTTATAAGCCTTACTGCTGAGCTGGATAATGACTGTGACTTCAATAGTTTTCAATAACGCTCAGCAATGATGCACAGTTTAGGACGAGTGATCAGAATTGTTGCAGCAGTTGAATAAAAGACACTTTTCCATAGAAACTTCAGCTAGAATGTTGACTGTTTGACTTGGTGGCTGATGACTGACTGTAGTAAAACTTCTGTTACCAGATCACATTTAAAATATACATATATTAAACTCAACACAAAAATTAAAGAAATTTGTTTGGTAGGTGATTTCTTTGTTGTAACAGTGCTTCTTGGCATTAAATCTTATATCGTTGGAAAGCCTGTTAATTTTCCTTTTAAATGATGCCACATTTGTAAGGAAGATGCATGTGTGAAATGAGCAGTAGAGCTGAGTATGTGGGTTGCACATATGAAAAAAAAGAGCCAAATCTTATTTGTCAAACAGCTCATTTTGTTGTTGATGTTTGAGCTTCTGGTACTTCCAGGTGCTGCCAATCAGGTGCCTGGTATAAGAATTTGTTTTGCAAAAAAGCATTGATACAACAGAAAAGAAGATCTAAAAAACACAAATTGGCTTACCTTTTGTGCTAAAAATTATTTTTTTGATGCCTTGTTACTTTTATTATTTTGTTGTCTATTTTATATTGTAATTTGGGAAAATCTGGTTAAAAAGTTAAAGTTAGGCAACATTAATCAAGAAGAAGTGCATATGTCTTGAGCCATTCCTATTTTTTACATTTTACTATGTTTTCTACATTTTATTTCCAAGCAGCCTCACTTTCCTGTAATTTTTTTGATCTTGATCAAAACTTCTTCAGGCGTTTTGAAGGGCCTTTAAATTTTCTTTTCTTAGTTGTTGGCTGCTTTTTCACTTATTTTCAGTCCTGGTAACTGATCATTTTTAAAGGAAGGGTTGTTTTCACAAAAGCTGCTAAAATACCTAACAACTAACAGAACTCTGTTTTTAATTGGATTTTTAATCACTGTTTCCTGCTGCCTTTCTCAAGAACACAAATTTTCCTTGTCTCTTGTGAAATCAATCAAAAGAGATCACAGTTTGACATATAAAATAATATTTGCTCACTAACATCATGATAAGGACAGATCTGTTCTTTGCTGGATTGTTTTCTTTGTCTTTTTAATATATAACTTTTCAGATACAGTTCATCTGCTGTAGACAGGCTTTTTTAGGCTCGGCACTTTCTTCTTCTACTACCTTTTTAATATTTGCTCTTTTCCCCTTCAATTTTTAAACACTCATCCCACACTATGCTGTCATGGTCAGCCATCAGGACTGAACTGAAAATGACTGAAAAAACAAAAACAAAACAATAAAAGCCTCTGACGAAGCCTAGAGATGCATTGATCAAAAGCACGTTAAAAACACTCAAAGAAAGTTTGGCTGTTCAAAGGGACCTTTTCTTAAACTTTTTAATGGCTTTAGTCATTTATATCTTTTAAAATGACGTGAATGCTAATCCTCTTTTTTTGTTTTGTAGTACATTAAATCGTTTTACAATGAGACGTGGATGGAGAGATACGGCGAGCCCCTTCCAGCAGAGACAGTCACCCTTCTCTGGTCCGTCACAGTGTCCATATTTGCCATCGGAGGTCTTCTCGGAGCTCTGTCAGTCACCATAATCATTAAAGTTTTAGGAAGGTGAGTTGATTTGTGCAGAATCACCTGCTTTTCTACTGAGTGCAACCATGAGTCACAATTCACAACGTAAAGTGTCTTTAATCATTTAACTAAAGCTGGTCTAAAAACAGAAACAGCAGATGAAAAATTACATTAAAAAGAGAATGGTTGATCAAATTTAAATAGCTTCAATTTGCAACAAATTTATACAAATTAATTTATGAAGTTTATTTAATTTGACAAATTTAAATCAAATTAGTTTAAATCATTTAGTTTCTTTCAAATAAATGATTAAAATCCCTCTGACCTAATTTTTTTGGAGTCAACTCAAAGTTTTAAGTTGTTCCAAATAAAAAAACTGAACTTTTCAAACATACATGATCACTCACGTAATACTTAAAAATACAATTTGTGCGTAAATCATTGTAAATGTGTGCTTTATCATGTTGTTTTTATTTTTAGTGAGATTTTAGGATAATCATTTATGCAAAATGCACAAGAACCTGTGGTGTTTTTACAAAAAAACAAAAATTGCTTTGTTTGTGCAATGAAGATTTTTTAACCAACTTGAATTTCTGATTACTATGAAAGTTATACTATTTGAAAAGCTAAAAACAACTTGGATAAACTGAATTTAATTGTTGCCAGTTGAAGCAATTCATTCAAATTGGATCAACTATTATCTTTTTGCAGTGGATAAAAATGTGTAACTAGGTTAATTGAACCTGTAAAAGTAAGTTTTCATCACAAAACCTAACTATTTATGTGGGATAAATAAGGCTCCAACATTAAATACAGCCCAACAACCTTTTTTAGATTGTAGATGTTTAAAGAGGACRAGCAGCTGTTGGGTGCTGCAACTTAAATGCACTTGGGTAACTGCTGAGTGCAGCTCCGTAACGTCAGGCATTTCGTCTGTCTGCTCTGCAGTTAAAGAGTGTGTTGTTGACCAGATATCAGCAATGGTTTTGTTATGAATTGACCTATAAAAATAATTCTAAGACCAAACAATTTTAAGGTTATTCAAAGTGAGAAAGTTATTTTACAGTGAGTTCATTCACAAGTACAGAATATTCAAGGCCGCTGGCTCGGAGGAGTGAATGTTTGAGCGAGTTCACCCGGAGGTCAGACTCAGAGAAATTGAAAAAAAAAAAAAGAAGCCCCCTCAGAAAACCCACAGGAGCAGAATCTTAAATCTCCCTGTCCTGAAACGTTAGAGTTCATGACAGCGTAATTAGAGAACGGATGAACAAGTGTTGCAGCAGAAATCGTCTTCAGAAAAATGCTGGTGTGGAATCTCAGGAGACCTGCACATAAATAAATGAGTATGAACTTTTTGAAGACCAAAATATTTGCCTAATGCTGAATGACACAAGATTTTTCTACAATTTTAAATTTGTCTTTTTGCCTAAGTTTCAGACAAGTGAACTCACCCACGCCATTTTACATTTATATAAGAAAAAGGACAGCTGTTGCTCAGCTGGTGCAGTTTAACAATAAGATGATCAGATCAAGTAGTTATGGATTCAAAGAGGAAGCCAGCTGATTGTTCATGTGAATGGTACAACTGAATATTTAAGCAACATAATCTTAAAAACTGACTCAAGTATTGCACAGGAGCACGTAATGCAGTATGTCTGTCTTTTTCTCTGTTTCCTTGTGTAATTTCTGCCTGAATACACAGATTACATCTTCACAGTGATTCAGCTGCTGCAGAATGTGTTGTTTATGTGTGTGTATGAGTGTGTGTGTGTGTGTGTGTGTGTGTTTTAGGACTTCACCTGTACACTAAGACAGCATAATTCAACATAAGGTGGTTACCCATTGGTTACAGATGGTTAAAAAAACACAAATTTGGATCATTAATATGTGCAAATACCATTTCCATGACATWTATTGACAGCTGTAGCTTTAGGTTTAAAAGGTAAAAATCACATTGAGTAGAAGGTCCCAGTAAAGAATAAGTATTTAAATATTGGTGATGATGCCAAAGTGTAACTTGTGCACGTTGCATGTTAAGTCTGTTTTAGTTTAAGCAGCCAGTTTGTCCTCCTGTGTTCATTTCACTGAGGAGTTGGTAAAATATGTAGATATATATAAAAAATAAAAAGTAAGCACTAAAATTGGCCCCTCAGTGAGGTCTCACTATGACCTGTCAGATGGAGCACATATGAAGTACTGCTTGCTGAGTTAAAGACGAATCTCATCCATATGTCGAGCCTCGGACAAATGTTTAATTTCCTGGCTGACACTGAAATTTACCTAAGTGTAGAAATTGAGTTTGAAGAAATGGTGTTTCAGTTTCCAGTGATCTACACCTCTGTCTTTTTTGCTCTGTCATGCATCTTTTGGTCCTTTTTGAATCCTTGTTAGACACCAGTTTTCACGTGTTTTCCAAGGCTGCAAAAATTGAACAAATTTTTTTTACGTTTTTATTTCTATAAATTTATATCTAGATCAGAGAGGTTTTAATTTCAGCATTTTAGGTTGATTTGTGATGTGTCGACCGATACTGAAATATCAATACTTTATGCTCTAAAATCCATTCTAAAATCAAAATACTGATACTTTCATACTTAAGTAATTTCAGGTAATGTTGTTATTAACAGGAACACAGTGGAAAGTAACTAAACTGTCTACATCATACCCAGTTCTGGGAACTACTTTTTCTTCCGCCTGAGTAATGCGTCTGCGCAGCAGCACATGCTCATCATATCTTTACATTCATGTTAACATGGTCAAGTAGCGTAAATCAAGATGCAAGTTTTCTTTTTTATAGTAGTTCTTGATCTTTAAACAATAATTTGTTTTAATGGTTTTATTATTTTACTTCTTTTTTTGTTTAAAACACTATTTTCACATATTTTTATGATTATGTACACTATTTAGTTTTTCTGTTGTATTAGCTTGGCTATGTGGTAAATAAGGACACCACATCAGTATACGTACACTGGAGTTCAAAAGGATTAATTAAATTACTTTGATGTCTTGTATTCCTTATGATGTGGTGATTGTTCTTATTTTAGATTTATCAGACATATTAGGTGTATTTGAACAAAGTATCAGTATTGGATCAATAGAAAATCGGTGGTATCAGACATCACTATTGAAGATTCTGATTTTGACTAGTTTTAAGTTTCTCTATAAGCTCTTCTTCCAATCTCTAGTTGAACAGAAACATTAATTATGTGATCATGATAAAATATCTACAGTAGAACAAAAYAACTTTTCTGTAAATGGCTCAATTTAAACATGTTTGCTACTTTGTGCATCTCATGGAACAGGTTTCACCGTTTTATATGAATCAAACAGATTAAACACCTGAAAACAGTTCTTCAAGCTGCATTTTTTTTGCCAAGAGACTTAAAACCTATTCTGGAACCAGTACAACAGCCTCTCCATCTGCTGAGGAAAAYTTTTGAAAAACAAATTATATTTAAACTCCAGTTTAATGCTCAAGCATTAAATACATCCTTGAAGATGATATAATTACCTAATGACCAAAAACAAAACTCTTCCTTTTAATAAGTCACRAAAGCAAAATTATCATTTTACATTTAGAACCATTTCTGAACTGCATATTGCCTCTGTGACCAGGAAAGACATTTTTATCTCTTTATATTTGAGTATCATTGGCTGTTCACTGGCCAAGCTAAAAAACATTGAGCTACTGGTGTATCCGACTGATATGAACTTATGTTTGTATTTATTACAATAAACTGCGTGTATATCTTCACAGCTATACTATGGATTCTGTGTGACACATTCACCATAGGTTTTTTTTTTCTCCGTTTCATCTTATTTCCCCTGAAGCCCATTCAGTGCTGGCTGCCAAGAAGTTGTTGCACACACCTTTGTTGTTAGTCTTCAGTGATTCATTCCACAATTTATTATCTCTACACAGACTCCAAGGCTGTACTGTACAAATTTAGGCAGAGAGGAAGTAAAAGCTATTTGCTCCTGATTTATTTGACAACTTATTCTAAGTAGTTCCACAATCTTTGCAGAGCTGTTCTTCCAGAAACRGACTCAGACAAAAATCACCTCCGTGCATCAAAAGTACAAGACATTCAAAAGACTCTATTATCCTCTAATTATCATGATGTCAGTGTTGGCGCAGGGGGACGACTTATGAATCCTCAAGTGTGAGTGGTTTGGGATCATTACGACACCCTAATGATTCACCTTGAATTTATCAAGTGGCAATTTTCCAGTGTGTTGATCAGGCTGAAAAGGATCAATCATTCTTCCTTCATATTTTCTGCCCCGCCATCTGTAGCCCAGCTCATGGCTCAGCTCAGAGTCCTGCAGAGGTTGACTTTCATACACAGAATTAGTAAACGGGGGAACACACGGATCAATTAAAAAGCTCCTTCAGTGACCAAGGGGTTCATTACAAGTTTTCTGGTGACGCTGGGGTCAAAGATGTGATGTGATGACAAGAATGCAAATGATGTAATTTCGGTCCAGGCTTTTTAATGTAAATGAGGCTGCTTTTGAAACAGTGCATGTTTTCCAGCCGTYGCACTGGGGCAGTCAAACAAAAACATATTTTCGTTTGACCTTTGACCTTACAACAAAAATCTCCCTTTTCACCTCCAGTGTCTCCCTTTAAAGTTTGTGTTTGGAAATGCTAAAAAAAATGCAGATTAGATAAAGTCTGTGTAAACTGGGCCCATGTGCATGCAGATGTGTTCATATATAAACAAGAAGCCAGGTTTTTGAATTCTTGTTTCATTTTGTTGACATTCAAATGTTGTCAGAGGGCGTTGTACTGTTGGGGGAAAAGTGCATATCCTCAATTTTAGGGCTAAAATGTTTTATAGATCAGGCTATGAATAATAAATAGGATCGAGGCCCTYAATCAAAGCCTTAGGAATATATTCAGGAATAATAATACAAAGCCTGATGTGACACTGAGCTGCAGAATGAGTCACAGTGTGAGAAAATGTGAGCAAGTATTCYAGAGGAAATGACTTCCAGAACATGGAGACAACCAGTTTTATTAGGGTTTGCTGAAAAAGGCAAAAGGGTGATCATGGTTTGTCAAGTCTGTGTAAGTGTGTGTCTATTACCAAAATATATCAAAACTCGGTTAGATTTTAATGAAACCTACATAAAGTTATCAGTGGATGTATATCTACAACTGGAAAATGGTTGGAATAAAGCTGATTAAACTCTAATTTGCTGTAACTGTCAATTTCACACATTTTATATGGACAAAATATAGTCTCATTAGAATCAGACTTTTTATAGACATTGAATTTAAAACACTGATTTTTTTCCTTTGCAGTTGTGTATGTGAATTTTTTTTACTTTAAATTCACCAGCAAAAGAATTGACTGCAAAAAATCTCAAGCCAAAGCAATCAGTATTATATCGAGTCAGCGGCTTTTCAACAATCCAGTTACACTCACGTGACACCAGTGCATTGCGCAGAGGTGACTTTCCTGACAGTTAGTTGGTTAGTGGCTGAATGAARACAAGTCAGGAGGTTTTTCTGTCAAACAGAGATTACTACAAAATGCCAGGCACTAATCGACAACCAATTGAGTTTTGCCATTTTGACTTGGCTTGATCTACTTCTGATTGCTTTGGCTTTGGCAGGCAATTTTCTACAGTTGAATATTTTTGCATTTGGATTTTTGCAGATGGAATTTTTGTTGGCAGACTTTAAGTAAATAAAAAAAAATCATAAAGGACAAAAAATC